TTGTCAAGACATGACAGATGGTTAAATTAACCAGTAAGACACGACAGGCCATATGGCAGTACCAGCTAATGCACACCTTGGGTAGGGCAGCTTGTGCCCTTAGCATACCAATGATCTACATTCACCAGAACCGAGACACAGTCTGGACTAAATTCCTTTTAATCGGGTTTAACTTTTTCCTAAACACAGGTTTCTCACCTGTTTATATTTTCGACACACACTCTAAATATATTGATTTGGTTCTGAAGCTTTTCTTTCCCCAATTACTAAAATTAAAGATTAACTACTGGAAGTTCAGAATTAAAGTCATTTTTTCTTTATACTTTTTGCATTCTCACTACACTGTTCTGTGGTACAAGTAGTTGTACACTACAATGACCCAACAGCCAGGATTATTTGTACAAATAAAGAAGGACATCATACCATCACTGAATTGACTGATTACACATGATACCTTCCAACTTACACCAAACTCTGGATGTCTGGAAATAACATGGATGTGCTACTTTGGTACCCCCAGCCCACACTATAGAAGTTCACCACAAAAAAAAAAAAAAAAAAAAAAAAAAAAAAAATTTGAGACTTACTTCCTGTAATGAGCTTAGTTAGAGAATCAAATACAAATTAAAAAGAGAAAAATGCCTGGCTTACAGAAGAAAACTCTGAAGGAACTAAGAGAGGAGTCAACTATAAAACTCATAGGTAGTAATACAACAAAAAAAAAAAAAAAAAAAAAAAGAAAAAAAAAAGTATGTGTTACAGCCAAGAAGCCCTCAGAAAGAACATACTTGCCTCATTTCAGTATCTTAAAACTGCTTTTTGTCAGGTTTTCTGCTTAAAAGATTAAAGTGTAATATGAGGCATGGTCTGGAGAGTTTCTTGTAAACTCTCATTGCACCATCACACCTATTAGCAGTTTCACTGTCAGGATACTATCACGTTCAGCACTATGGCTCACACCGTGGAATTTCCCAGACATACTTAATCTGGTTAATGGACAAATTATCTTAGGAAAGTCTCCTCAAAACAGATTGGCTTTGGCTGCTTAAGGGACACTGCAAAACCAGCCTCTGACCTAGGGTTAGCACTTTTCACATCAGTGCTAAAAATAAAGGTAGGGGAAACAGAAAAATGGATTACACTTTAAAGTGTAATAAACAGGTCCAAAATAAGCTTTAAAATCATTTGATAAATCTTACTATGTATCTGGATTATTTTTACCTCATTTAAACTATTTTTTAACCAAATACTGAAATTAATTACACTAAGTATATTTAAAAAGAGAAATAATGCTAAAAATATTTTCTTGAGTTGTCTATGTTTAAATTTTAGTCATGCAAAGTGACTTTACTGCAAAGTATTGTATTGGTTATTTTAATTCTACAACTACAGAAAAAAAAAAACAAAACCCAGAAAAAAACTCACACCATAAATTTTTGTTTCCTCACAAGCATTTTCTTTTTCCTGCTACTGTCCTGATTTTGTTGAAAAGCGTTCCACTGCTCAAAACATTTTATCAAAAATAAATTGTTAGTGGGAGAAGAGAAGTGTGACTGGGAGCAAAGAGATAAGAGGTAAAGATAGCCAGGAAGAACCAGCAGATTAAATGTGACAGACAAGTTCAGGGAGATAATGCCCATTTCATTTCTGATCTAGGGAACTGTCACTGAAGAAAGAACAAAAAACACGCAAGAACTCCCCCAAACCGACCGCTACCACACAGCGGCAACAACTTGCCTTCAGCAAGGCAGGAAACGATAGATAAAATTCATTTATTTGTTTTTAAACTATTAGCTAATTATCACATTGGGAGGTTTTTTCCCCTCTTCCCTTCTCTTAAGCTCTGCCTCTTCCCTTCCCCTCAATCCTGTCAATTTTACAAAAAAGGGGAAAGAAGTCCTACGCGCAAATAGGCACGACTCTGCTACCCAGCGATACAAATCCCTGTTTCTAACTGTCCTGCTCACTAACCACTGTGACTGAGGCTGAGTGCCTCAGCAATTGGATGCTGTTACCAAGCAACGGTGCCAAGCAGCCGCACATACGCCGTTTGGGTAGTTCACCGCAGCTTCACGACAGTTCAAAATAAGATCACGCTTTTGAGCAGAAGAGATTTCATTTGAAGTTTTGCTAAACATCCTGATCTTAGAAAGGATAAAAGTTTATTATTTCCAATTTGGAACGTAAGAGCTTGTGTTGCACCGTAGGCTCTATGTTAAAGCAGGTGCTGTGGCAACACATTCAACTCAGCAAGTAAAGGAACAGAAACACTAGTATATTTGCTGAGACATGGCCCAAACCTAAATATCCAGGAAAAAAAACCAACAAACTCTACAGGATATTTTGTAAACCTTACAGCTACCACTTCTCTGACAAGGATTGCTAATCAAAAGGAGGAGAAGTGCATCTTTAATTCCCCAAAGCTGGGTCTTCCTTCCTCCCCAAGGCAAAAGGCTGTACCAAGGCAGACTTAGGAACCCAATTTCTGCCAAGCAGCAGCACAGACTAAACATCCCCTACAGATCTTCGTAGGGCTAGAGACCACTTCCAGTAGCATGAGTGATTTGCTGAAAAGCATTGCTGCCTCCAGCAAAACAAATCAGGCACTATTCCACTGATGCCTGCCAGCGAAAACTTCACTTTCTAATCATGTTTAACATCGCGGAAAAGCACAGCATCTCAAAAAACCCAGCAACTCACAACCCTTCCCCCTAAACGGAGCATCAGCTCAGTCAACCTTAAATGAAGCAAGTTTTCACAGCAGCTCTGGGGCAGGGGGAAGCCTTTCTGCATCAACTCCTCCCTGCATATGGAACAGAAAGAATATCTAGAGCTTAAGTCCAACTAGAAGTGAAAGTCTCAAGATTATCACAGAAAAACTGTAGATTAAGGAATGCAGTTTTACAGAACAGTGGTTCCCAAAGGGCAGTTGCTGTGTAATGTTGTGGTAATAGTAACAACAGAAAACAAAACCCACTTGGACTAATGAAGTGTCAAGTCTGTCCAACTAGTATTGCTCAACTGGCTTTTGCTGGGCAACCTGAATTTCTGATCTAATCACACTGTCACTCCTGGGAGCTCACAGTTCCAACAGGTGGTTTTCCGGCTGACAGGGAAAATGCAAATAGATAGTTCCAATGAATCCTGACCATGTGTGCATCTTTTCATAAGGTATTACTTTATAGTGAATATTGTGCATACTTCTTTTGCAAACCTACGTTCCAGTCTCTGAAACATGCAGTTGAAATTCAAGACTTCTCATCTGGGGTTTGCTCACAGAAGAGCGTTATCAACTTATCTTTTGTAATTCTTTTTACAATGAGATCGCATATTATTGGACGTGTGAACAGTATTAACTTTTGGAGATTTTATCTGTAACACTTTGTACTCAAGCTTGCATTTCACTGAGAGAATAGAGAAAAGCATCAGATAGCATTTGTTCTTTTATGTAAAGTCATCTTTGATAGAATATTAAATGTTTGCTCCTCCCAGCAGCTTTCTCCTCCTCAGCAATCATTTGCTTGCAAGCCCGGGTTTCTAGAATTCACCAAGACACAGGTATTCACCAAGGTGTAACTCTCACATTCCAGGGGTAAAAACGGGCTTCATTATCTTTGCCTTTGTTTCAACACCACATTAAAGACAGGGAAGATCACTTTGGATATTCTGTTACACACTGTATTGCTCATCAAGTTTTCATTATCCATTGGAGACTCATTGCATTTAAAAACCCAGAGTGAAAACACGGAGCTTTTATTAAATGTATACATTAGCGATTTGAATACAATCTAACTAAAGAATTTAGTTATGCCTATAAAAAAGTTTAGACCAGCAATTACCCACTTTTACAATTATGGCTTTTTGTTCAATAGATTGTCATAGTATTATTCAGGCTGGTTTTAGGTTGTTCCTACTATGTATACATCGAGACCTCTGCCAAAACACTTAAAATAATCTCCTATTATTAAAACAATTATAATCTAAAGCAATTCTAACAGGCTTGCTCTAAATAAATGAAATGCTGAGTGTAGAGACAAAGAAAAGGAATACTATTAACACTGAGATCATGAGAGGCTTAAGGACTTAAGCAAAGTTTATGCTGGAATAATCATCATACAGATCATATCCCATAAAATAAGCTTTCTATTTTAATTCATTATGCTTACTAATATAGCAATTGCACAGTAGTAAGCATTTAGTAACCAGCTTCCAAAACCTCAGAAAAATATCTTACTTAAATCTTTTCACAATAAGCAGCAAGTAAAAAAGGAAATGGATGGCTACAGATGTTTTTTTTTTCCAGGAACTTACTGAAGAAGGAAAAAAAAAAAAAAAAAAA